GGCGGAGTAGGACAGCTCTGACGTCCCTGATGTGCTCCTCAAACGTAGCCGGGTAGATCAGGATATCGTTGATGTACACCACCACCTGTCTACTCAGCATGTCTTGGAACACGTCATTGACGAAGGACTGGAACGCAGAAGGTTCGTTGGCGAGGCCATAGGGTATGACGCAGTATTCATAGTGACCTGAGGTAGTGCTGAATGCCGTCATCCACTCGTCTCCTTCCCAGATTCGGATCAGGTTGTAGGCACTCCTCAGGTCTAACTTGGTAAAGTACCGGGCCCCTCGTAGCTGATCGATGGCCGACGGAACCAGAGGGAGGGGGTACCGGTACTTTGTGGTGACTGCGTTCAGCCCCCTGTAGTCAATGCACGGCCTCAGTCCTCCATCTTTTTTGGCCATGAAGAAGAAGCTGGTGGAGGCAGGAGAGGTAGAGCGTCTGATGAACCCCTGTTTCAGGGTCTCCTCCACATACTTCTCCATGGCCTCAGTCTCCGCCATGGAAAGGGGGTAAATGCGACTCTTCGGGGGGTGTTGTCCCTCCAGCAGGTCAATGGCGCAGTCCCAGGGCCTGTGAGGAGGGAGACACGTAGCCTTTGATGAAGAGAAGACATCGGAGAGATCTGCATACTCACGTGGAATGTTGGGCTGGAGGGCAGACTCCGGACTCTCCACTGACGTGGAACAACAAACCACCGGCAGGCAGGTCTTCCGGCATGAGGTGGACCAGGCTGTGATCCTCTTGGTGATACAATTGATGGTAGGGTTGTGTAGTCTGAGCCATGGCAATCCCAAGACGATCCGGTGAAGGGGTGATGTGACGATGTGGAATGACAGCTCCTCGTGGTGCTCCGGTAGTGTGGGAATGGTGATGGTGATGGGGAGAGTGACGTGCTGATGGTGGCTGATCCTAGTGGTTTATTGTCCAGCGAGGTGACGTGTAGCAGAGAAGTCAGTGGCACGGTGGGCAACCCCCATTCAGAGACCAGCTCCCTATCTATAAGGTTCCCTGCTGGAAGAGAAGGAATAACCATTCACCGTTATGGGAACTAAAAACAATGGTTTTGTGATAGGAGATGACATAACACTCACGGAGCGGCTACGGGAGTCATACCGCCTAGATTGTGAGCCGCCAGGAGATCTGTGGTCCGTGATGGTGTAGGGGGTGCTGCACACCTCCATGGGTGAGGACTCAGAGGCAGGGCGACTTCCATAGCTCAGATGGGGTGAGCGTCGAGGCTCCAGGAGGTGTTGGGAACGCTGTCTGTCTCTCAACATGTTGTCAAGACGGGTGGACGTGGCGATGAGGGTATCAAGGTCCATCTCGTCGTCCCGACATGCGAGTTCCATCTTGATGTCCTCCCGTAAGCCTCTCCTGAAAGCCGTGCGCAGAGCACGCTCATTCCAGACGGAAGATGCCGCCACTGTGCGAAAACTCAGAGCGTACTCGGACGTGGGCCCCTCTCCCTGTTGTAGCTGGAGGAGATGCTCACCCCCGTCCTTTCCCTCCATGGGATGATCAAACACCACCCTGAACCGAGCGAGGAAGGTGGAGTAGGGAAGCGCCATGGCCTCACCTCCTTCCCAGACTGCCGTGGCCCAATACAGCGCCTTTCCTTTAAGTAGCGAAATCACCAGCGCTATCCTGGTTTGGTCAGATGGATATGCCCCAGGCTGACACGCCAGATAAAGTGAAACCTGTAGTAGGAAGCCGCTACATTTAGTAGATTTACCGTCATAGCGCTCCGGTAGGGCAAGAAGTTGGTGATAGCGCGGGAACAGGGGGATTGGGTGCACTCTCCGCTCCCTGAGGTGGAACCAGACCGCTGGGCAGATTATGCAGAGTTTGGAGCACTTCCTGCATGGCGCCGTTCAACTTGGCAAGCTGCTGGTGCTGGTCGAGGCACTGGGAAACTCCAGGAGGATTAACTGCTGCATCCATTTTCGTGAGTGGTGTGTAATTCAGTGACGAGCACTGAGGATACGAAGAGGCAAGACGCAGACGCAGGAATTAATAAGGTAAAGGTTTACTTAACAATGAGAAAGAGAATAACAAAGAGTGAGTAAACGACACGACGTTAACAATTACACACAACAATGAACGTCCAGGGCTATATAGTGGTGGTGATGAGATGATGAGGTGCAGGTGCGCTGGAGGTGATTAGGGTGTGTTGGGTTTCCATTCCTGTGTTAGCCGAGGTGGTGCGCTCAGACCGGTGGCTCAGTAGACCGGCGAATCAGAGCACCAGAGGGGAGCAACGGGAGGAGACGTGACACTAAGATTGAATCCTACTACACCGGCTCTGACGCTCGTCTGATGTGGAAGGACTTGCAAACTATTACGGATCACAAAAGGAAACCCAGCTGCGAGCTGCCCAGTGACGCATTCCCCCGCACATTTACTCGGTACCGGTACCCCCTGTATATAGCCTCGTTATTGTTATTTTATAGTGTTCCTTTTTTTCTTATTTATGTCGTATAATTTGTATTTATTTTGTAGTCAATATTTTCTTACATAAAATCTGCACTGTTGGTTAAGGGCTTGTAAGTAAGCTTTTCACGGTAAGGTCAACACCTGTTGTATTCGGCGCATGTGACAAATAACATTTGTTTTGATTTGAACAATACTGGGAGCTGTGATTTTCCTCAGTGGAATGGCCTCAGAGAAATGAGTGGCAGCGTACCTGATTGTTAAGAGAAACTGGTTACCACTCTTTGCTTTGGGCAAAGGATCAACACAGTCCATCAAAACCCTGCTGAAAGGTTAGTCAAAAGCAGGAATAGGCTGCAAAGGTGCAACCGGTACAGCTTGGTTTGGTTTACCCGTCCTCTGGCAAACCACCGGATTTACAGTAAGCCACAACATCCTGTTTCAGACCAGGCCAGAAGAAGTTACGCAAGATACAGTCATATGTCTTGTTGACCCCAAGATGGCCTGCCATACTACCATCGTGAGCCAACCTCAGTGGTGCGAGAATTCAATTTCCTCATCAGAACACCATCTTTGTCAAAGTATCCAACATGAACTTAATAAACTCCTCCTCTGGATGTATCTCAGCAAAAAGAGGGGAGAGTGAAACATCTTTACTCTGTACAGCAATCAGCTGCTTCCTAGACATCGAAGTGTCAACTTTAGGTACCCTCTCTTCCTTCAGTGGTCCTACAAACTCGCTCACCTTTGAGGTTTTCAAAGGAGAGGTCAACTTAGGAGGTTTACCGAAATCAGGATCACACAGAAACGTCTCGTACAGATCGAACATGGTGGGATCGCTGACATCCTCCTCAACCCTAGACTTGCTCCCAGCAACGTTTTTAGACATGGCACAAGTAATGGCACATGCTGGGAAGACTCTAGGGTACATTTCTGATAACCCATCAGGTTCCTCCACTCTGGGTTCCTTACAAACGACAAGATTTGGCAGGGCCTTCCCTTCAGCCAAATCGTTGCCCAAAATGAATGAGGCCCCCTCCACTGGTAGGCTAGGCCTCACCCCAACGACAATGGAACCTGAAACAAGATCAGACTCGAGTTCCACATTATAAAAGGAACAACATTATACATGCAACCCATCTCCACACCTTGAACTTACATACTGTAACCAGTTGTTGAAGTGTCAGACAAAAGCAAAACACCCTCCAAAATGAAGGATTGGGCTGCCCAAGTGTCTCGTAGTATCTTCACCGGCTGCTTAACAGCATTGCCGCTCTGCAGAGACACGAACCCTTCTGAAAAAAAGGGTTCATACACATCTGATCCAAAATCTTGTTTAGGAGATACATCCATCCCAATCAGAGATTTGATGGGCTGGAGTGCTCCCACAAAAAGAAACGGCTGTTTCTCTCTTTCATTTTTCTGTTTCAACTTAGGACACAGAGACAATGTGTCCTTTCTCACGGCAGTAATAACAAACTGTCGGATACGAAAAACTAGTTTTCTGCCGATCGTTATCTTTAGGCACTGTAGAAAAAGACTAAAACCTTGCAGTAGGGGGTGAATTCTCTGGATTTCTTTTTGCGTAGGGATAACTACTGGGTGTTTTGTTTGTGAAGGTAGTTTTATGTGTCAAGGACTGCAGCTTGAGTCTTGTGCTCATAAATGTAGGTAGCAACCCTTTCGTGAAGGCAATTCTTGAACTGTTCGAGTAGTATGAGTGCCTTTAAATCCTCAAGGTCCTTGACCTCTTGAGAACCACACTACCGATCAAAAATACATGCTTGTTCCCTTGCAAATTCAACATGGCTTTGTGATTCTATCTTTCGTAATTTACGGATCTATTGTCTGAATGCCTCTGGGACCAACTCGTAAGCCCGAAGGATAGCAGCTTTAACAATGTCATAATCTGGTCAATAGATAAAGCAGTGTTTTTTTGGGGGGGGCTTTTCCCACAAGAACACTTTGGAGGGGCAGTGACCATTTTAGGGATGTGGCAATCCGCTCAAACAGAGTAAAATATACATCCACCTCCTTTTCATTGAAAGATGGCCGGCTGTTCCAACCAAGATCAAACTCTGTTGAGGGTGCAGGATGGCCTGACTTGATTCTGAGTACTTCCAGATCTATCTCTCTTTGTTGTGCTACCAGCTCCATCTCTTTTAATTTAATGGCATGCTCATATTCCTGTTCTTGTCTGGCTGCACGTTCTCTTTCCCTTTCCTTGTGCTTGAGCTCTAATTTCTGTTGCTCCAATTTCTCCTCAGGTTCCCTTTCACTTTCATAGTTGAACTCAAACCTTAAATGATACTCCTTAAAAAGTAGTGTTATGACACTTTATCAGCTAAGTGGGAATTATTTGTTTACAGCGAATGGCTTTCCTATGAGGAGTCTGAAAAATAAGTCGATTAGCTCCCTTTTGTTCTCTTGCACTCTCTTATATTATCTCTCTCTCTCTCCCCAAGAAACCTCACATCTTCACAGCCATGTCTCTCCCCTTCACCTTATTCTTCGATGTCTAAAACGGTGTCCTACTCCCTGCCCCCCTCTCTCCCTCTCTCCTCTTAGTGGAACATCACAGGCCTGGACTGGAGCCAGCTCAGTAAGAAGGAGTGTGTGAAGTACGGAGGCTCTCTGGTGGGCAACACCTGTAAGTACGTCCCTGACCTGGCCCTCATGTCCTTCATCCTGTTCTTCGGGACCTACTCCATGACCGTCTCCCTCAAGAAGTTCAAGTTTAGCCGCTACTTTCCTACCAAGGTGAGACTAGAACGAATTGAAGAGGAGCTAGATGTTTATACAGTGACATACAGACTGAATCGCAAATGGCAGCCTGATGCAGCCACAGTTTCATATTTTTCAAGACAAAGATTATCTATTTAAAACTCTTGAGGCAGATATGATTAGGTGTAATCTGTGGTGATTTGGTGTAATCTCTATGGAGATATGGTGTAAATAAGAGCAATGACCGAAACATGTTTAGATCTAAACTTTTGTATACAATTGTCTCCCCAAACTCCTCAATGTACGTACTGGATCCCCTGGTATCCTGAAACTGCATGTTCCTAACAGACAGGAATATTCTATTTCACCTATATTACAGCTGAATACAATTTCAATGCGTTGTGTTGAGATGTGTTTGTGTCTCTGCATTTGAAGAGTTTCATTCCAAAACGCTATATATCCATTTTCAGACATGTTGGTAAATTAACTTTTATTGTTTGAAGAAATTATCAAAGAGATTGGTGTGTTTTTTCACTATCTAATCATGGCATGGGGCTATCCAATGACAGATATTTAAAAAAAATTACTTGATGGTTTCATTTCAGAGAGACAAATATGGTTTTTTTTGCTAAATGCAATATATCTGCCTCTCTCAGAGAAATAAGTAGTACTGCTAGGTTTTACAGTCAAATGTAGCAAATAACTACATTTTTTCAATATTTATATATATAAAAAAAAAATCAATACTGTAATATGAGATCTGTATGTAAAACTATTACATTTGACGTTTTAGTCATTTAGCCGATGCTGTTATCCAGAGAGACAGTTAGTGCATTCATCTTAAGATAGCTATGTGAGACAACTACATATCACAGTCGAATATACAGGATACGAACATTCCATTCCAGCTAAACAATGGATATATAGCGTTTTGCAAAAAAACATATTTTCATACACATCTAAAATCTATGAATTGAGAACAGAAATATTTGACACACATGAAGGTAAACAATCATTTCTGATGAAAAAACACAAATGTGAAAAATGTGTGGATATAGTGTTTTGGAAATTTCTTTTTCTTAGAGAGGTTATTTATGTTTCTCACTAGACTTATATTGTATTTTTTTCATATGCTTTGTTCTGTCTGTGTCTCTGTCCTTGTCTCTGTCTATTGTGTCCGTCTGTGTTTCTGTCTGTTGCTCTGTCTGTGGCTTCTGTAAACAGCTGCGGAAGCTCATCAGTGACTTCTCCATCTTCATGGCCATTATGACCTTCGTGGGTCTGGACAGGTTAATCGGGCTCAAAACTCCCAAGCTCATCGTTCCCACAGAGTTTAAGGTAAAGGAACGGGTTCAAAATAGCCACTCTTTTTATTAGTTATGTTCCTGACCATACCCTGGGCGTAAACCTAATATTGAAACAGTTGTGTATCATTATACATGTCTGTTTTTGTCCTTTAATCAATGAATGGTCACTCGGACACTGTCCCTTACTGACTCCCTTTAGCCCACACGTCCAGACCGGGGTTGGATAGTGCTGCCGTTTGGGAAGAACCCATGGTGGGTGTATTTGGCCAGCTTCGTCCCTGCTCTCCTGGTCACCATCCTCATCTTCATGGACCAGCAAATCAGTGCTGTCATTGTCAACCGGAAGGAGAACAAACTGAGGGTACTTTGAGGGATGTTTTTATTTATTTATTTAACATGTATTTATTGGGGAAGTCCCATTGAAGGCATACCTGGATGTGCTCTATTATATACACAGCCAACTCTGTTATAGTGAAGACATTGATAGCAAGTTTAACCTCAGCTTTTGGAGATCACAATCGGCATCACACATGTTGTTTGCCATAATCTCGGTTAACCCAGAACTAAAATGTTGTGGAATTTGGTCAGAATCTGTCCATGAGAGATGATATTTGCCACAATGAGCAATTTATATTGTAGATAAGAGATGTACTCGTAGGGGTAAAATATAGGTCCTAGAACCTTAATTGGGCTTTGGTGTCATGTTGGGGCCTACATAATGCATAGGACAATTACTTCAATGACATCCCCCAGTGTGAGTTCGTCCTACTCCGCTCTGTGTGTCCCTCCACCTGTGTGTCCCTCCACCTGTGTGTCCCTCCCTGGCAGAAAGGGTGTGGCTACCACCTGGACCTGTTCTGGGTGGGGGTGCTGATGGCTGTCTGCTCCTTCTTGGGCCTGCCCTGGTACGTGGCCGCCACTGTCATCTCCATCGCCCACATCGACTCACTGAAGATGGAAAGTGAGTCCAGCGCCCCTGGGGAGCAGCCCCAGTTCCTGGGTGTCAGGTGAGGGAGCATTGAGCAGTAACCATAGAATGTGACTATGGAGGATGTACAGTGCCTTGCCAAAGTATTCATCCCCCTTGGCGTTTCTCCTATTTTGTTGCATTACAACCTGTAATTTAAATTGATTTTTATTTGGATTTCATGTAATGGACATACACAAAATAGTCCAAATTGGTGAAGTGAAATGGAAAAACTAACTTGTTTAAAAAAATTATACAAAATGTATAATGAAAAAATGGTGCGTGCATGTGCATTGCTATGAAGTCCCTAAATAAGTTCTGGTGCAACCAATTACCTTCAGAAGTCACATAATTAGTTAAATAAAGTCCACCTGTGTGCAATCTAAGTGCCACATGATCTCAGTATATATACACTTGTTCTGAAAGGCCCCAGAGTCTGCAACAACACTAAGCAAGGGGCACCAACAAGCAAGCGGCACCATGAAGACCAAGGAGCTCTCCAAACAGGTCAGGGACAAAGTTGTGGAGAAGTACAGATCAGGGTTGGGTTATAAAAAAATATCCGAAACTTTGAACATCCCACAGAGCACCATTAAATCCATTATTAAAAAATGGAAAGAATATGGCACCACAACAAACCTGCCAAGAGAGGGCCGCCCACCAAAACTCACAGACCAGGCAAGGAGGCATTAATCAGAGAGGCAACAAAGAGACCAAAGATAACCCTGAAGGAGCTGCAAAGTTCCACAGCGGAGATAGGAGTATCTGTCCATAGGACCACTTTAAGTCGTACACTCCACAGAGCTGGGCTTTACGGAAGAGTGGCCAGAAAAAAGCCATTGCTTAAAGAAATAAATAAGCAAACACATTTGGTGTTCGCCAAAAGGCATGTGGGAGACTCCCCAAACATATGGAAGAAGGTACTCTGATCAGATGAGACTAAAACTGAGCTTTTTGGCCATCAAGGAAAACGCTATGTCTGGTGCAAACCCAACACCTCTCATCACCCCGAGAACACCAACCCCACAGTGAAGTGTGGTGGTGGCAGCATCATGATGTGGGGATGTTTTTCATCGGCAGGGACTGGGAAACTGGTCAGAATTGAAGGAATGATTGATGGCGCTAAATACAGGGAAATTCTTGAGGGAAACCTGTTTCAGTCTTCCAGAGATTTGAGACTAGGACGGAGGTTCACCTTCCAGCAGGACAATGACCCTAAGCATACTGCTAAAGCAACACTCGAGTGGTTTAAGGGGAAACATTTAAATGTCTTGGAATGGCCTAGTCAAAGTCCAGACCTCAATCCAATTGTGAATCTGTGGTATGACTTAAAGATTGCTGTACACCAGCGGAACCCATCCAACTTGAATGACCTGGAGCAGTTTTGCCTTGAAGAATGGGCAAAAATCCCAGTGGCTAGATGTGCCAAGCTTATAGAGACATACCCCAAGAGACTTGCAGCTTTAATTGCTGCAAAATGTGGCTCTACAAAGTATTGACTTTGGGGGGGGTGAATAGTTTCACAAAAAAAAGTATTTTGCATCTTCAAAGTGGTTGGCATGTTGTGTAAATCAAATGATACAAACCCCCCCAAAAATCCATTTTAATTCCTGGTTGTAAGGCAACAAAATAGGAAAATGCCAAGGGGAGTGAATACTTTCGCAAGCCACTGTACAGGACAGTATAGTCCAGGCAGGGCTTGTCTCTTGTCTGCTGTCTATTACAAACGGAAAGGTTTGCTGGTAGTCATCCTCTCTCTCTCTCTTTCTCTCTCACCCGCTCTTTCTCTAATGAACAGGGAGCAGAGACTGACAGGGATTCTAGTGTTTGTTCTCACTGGAGTCTCCATCTTCCTGGCTCCCATTCTACAGGTCAGTAAAATATATTAATTTCCTCTGACCTAAACAAGGATTTTGGATGAATAATAACAGTGGCTGCGCCCCAAATGGCACCCTATTCCCTATGGGCGCTGGTCAAAAGTAGTGCACTGAATAGTAGTGCACTTGCCATTTGGGGTGCAATCAGTGTGTTTTCTATACCACCACATGCCATTAAAGGGGTTCAACATGATAATGTGCTGATGTTGTCTATGTGTTTAACATGTGTGTTCGCCCTCTCTTCCACAGTTCATACCCATGCCAGTACTTTACGGTGTGTTTCTCTACATGGGCGTGGCATCTCTTAGCGGCATTCAGGTTTGTATAGACCAGAAAACAAAGTAGACAGCCAGTGGTTGTGTCAATTGAAAGTCTCATGGTATGCGGTTCCTCCTCTGACATGAATTCAAATCTCCAAATTAAGATACATTCTCTGTGATGTCGTTCTTTTCCTTATCAGAAACCGTGTGTCTGGAGGGAAGGTGACTGTATTCTAGCAGCGTCTAAAGCAGCAATTTGGAGATGCATTTTGATGAGGGTGTTAGGTAGGCTGCTCAGAGCAGAGCTAGGAGATCAGGGAAGGCTCAGTGAGTGTTTGTGTGTGTGGGTGCTGTTTGACTGCACCCTGCCAATCAAAGGGAAATGTCACAGACGAAAGAGTAAAATGTCAACAGCAAGGTGAACAAACATTAGACAGGGTCCATGAAAGTATAAATGGAAAATGTCACAAGCCTATTGTCCACAATCCATAAACAATTGTGTGTGTCTCAGTTGGTAGAGCATGGAGTTTGCAATGCTAGGGTTGTTGTCCTGCTGCGATTACCCATATGAAAATGTATACACACATTACTGTAAGTCACTTTGGATAAGTGTCTGCTAAATTGCATATATTCTATAGATAAAACCTCGGAAATGGGAATAACGCAGGCAGTGATGAGTGTGTGTTCTCATTGTCACTCCCCTGTAGTTCTGGGAGAGGATCAAGTTGTACATGATGCCGTCCAAGTACCAGCCAGACTTCCCTTTCCTGCGTCACGTGCCTCTGAGGAGGGTCCACCTCTTCACCCTGGTCCAGATCATCTGTCTGGCTGTCCTCTGGGTGCTCAAGTCCACCGTCCTGGCCATCCTCTTCCCTGTCATGGTATTATTCATTACTCGCTTTTGATTGGAACAAGCATTAATACAGGGCTGTCAAACCCATTCCATGGAGGACTGAATGTCTGCTGTTTTTGTTCTTTCCTTTCAATTTGTGTCCAATTAAGACCTAGACAACCAGCTGAGGGGAGTTGTTACTAATAAATTAGCTTAACTGATCAATCAAGTACAGTACATGGGAGGAGCAAAACCTGCAGACACTCGCCCCTCAATGGAATGAGTATGACACCCCTGCATTAATGCATAAAAAAAGATGGTCAGCTCTCACAAGCTAAAGTTTTACTTAGATTTATAACCAGCAATCACAACGGACATACATTCGGCTATACATTCAAGCACCCATCAACATACAAATGACCTGTGATGTAAATGCTGGTTACTTATGAAGAGTTTAACTTCTTTCCTGTTGATGTTATTTTCTTGTCATGGAAGTTATGTAAGAAAGGATCATGTGCTTGTGTGGTTAACAGATCCTGGGGTTGCTGGTGGTGCGTAAGATGCTGGACATGGTGTTCTCTCAACACGACCTGGCCTGGATAGATGATATCCTGCCCGGGAAAGACAAGAAGAAGGATAAGAAGAAGAAGGGCGTTAAAGATGACACGAAGAAGAAAGACAAGAAGAAAGTGAGAGCAGACGACAGCAAAGATGAGGTGAGAAACGTTAAGTTTTACTGCCACCAACTGGTTGGCTTAGAGAAAAAGAAACCTTGCTAAATAATGTATTTCTGATGGCTGTGTTTTGTGTGTGTGCTTGTGTGTGTTTGCATGCAGGAGAAGTACCACGCTTACTCCAACTGCTCGTCCAGGTCTGAGTCTGACGTGGACCGCAGGTATTGTGTGCTTAAACTACACGTCCCCTACAGAGACCTCCTTCAGCCCGCTGACGCCCAGTCACAGTGGGCCGCTCACTGCCAGCCAGGCAAATACTTCCCCTGATACACAGATTACATAAACATGAAACATCAGCCTGGCAGATATACGCAGACACCCAAAACATGCACGCACACACACACACATGGGCGCCTGACTTTGTCTTAAAGTAAAATCAAATAAAAAGAGTTAAACATTTTAAAACCATTTCCTGCAATTGTACACTGTTTCTTTACAGGTGGAATCCATATTTATGTACAGAACACAACCATTTTTCTTAAGTTAAATTATATTGAGGTCGAGTACATTTATCTAGGCCTATATGCCAACAGTGCGCAACAATGCCTAATTTATTATAATCATTACAGATAGCAAATCCTAAATTGCTCCATAGTCAATAAAAAACAAGTGCCATTTAAGATTGATTTGTTGAAACCGTAATATCAACTGGTTATATTATATTGTGGAACACAATCTTCAAAAAGGCAGTAACCTCAGCAGTGGAGTTTCTTGTATAAGCCTATTGGCTGTGCAATGGCATAGCCTTGTTTTGTTAATTTAGCAAGACACTCTTCTTTCCTGAGCCCTTATCACAGTCAATACACATATTTTGTAGTAAAAAGACAATGTAATATTACAGAATAAAATCCAACAGAGTATTATTCCAAATGAAAAAAGTACGAAGTGAATCGCATCTGGTGTCTGGAATAGTTATTCTGAAAGAGTGATCATTTGAAACGGGACTCAATTTGGCGAGTTGAAAGACCATTTTTTCATACAGACATTTTATTTAGTTTATTCTGCATGTTTGGAATTTTCTAAATGGACAATTCCACGTGATGAATTACAGCCACACATATTTTTGCAGTAGGCATAGGCTTAATGATTCTGATGAAAATACGGTCTTTGTCTTTATCAAACTAATGTTTTTACATATTTTCAGTGTGGAACCTGTGTAGCCAAGCCCTAGACTAACAAATTCTAAAGGGCACTAGCAGTTCACAAAGTAGCGAAGCAGAAAATAGAAGGAACGCAATTATTCCAAAACTGCAGCTCATTGTTGGAACACATATTTCCCTACTTCAATCAATCAGTCCATTTTGAATTTGTGATAAAACTGTCATCATTTGGCAAGGAATGTAGCTTGTGTATCCCATCAGTTAGATTCGTTTTTTATAGGCATGTATTTCTGTAGGCCTAATGGGAACGTGTGTGCCCACTCAGGACGCCTGTGTAACGGGAGCAGTCAGAACGCAATTGAGTGAGTGAAACATGGAGCGGAAAGGGAATTTAGGGAGAAGAACTGCTTGATGCTTGGCTTAGTTTATTTTTAGTTGTGCCCCGCAAATGCACACGTAGGCCTATGGAACAATAGAGTCAAAGCAAATTAACGTTGTCTTCAAGACAACTAAATAGTTGTACTGAATTTCATTTTTTAAACATCTCTGGTTAAAGGTCGAGTTTTGACGTCCGTCAAGAGACTCATGCCCATCCCTACCTCCGACATGGATTTTTTAGTTTTTTAAAACGTTGTCACAGTGTCACCATGAAAATGTTAAAAACTGCTGCTTTATCGGGGTACAAATATCCTGTGCTTTTTAATTTTGCACATATGCGCATGCACCTTGGTTACATTGTAACCGTGAAGCAGCCAGTGTTGCCAACTCCTCAGTAAAGAAAGTAGCTATTGGCTGTCCTAAAAGTCGCCAGGGTGGGGCCCACCGCAGCACCCGCTGCTCGTTGAGAAGAGTAAGAACGATACGTGCTTTCACGTCAGAGTCTCCAATAACACCAGAAAAAGTCCCTAGAGTTGTCGCTAGTCACTTTTTTGAAAATGTGTTGCTAGATGGGTCTGAAAACTTGCTAAATATAGCGACAAAGTCACTAAGCTGGCAACACTGGAAGCGGCCACGTGCGCTTGGTGCACTCACATATGGGGCTCAACCAGGACTGTTACTTTTGTAACTGAATTAAAACATTTTAGCTATGTGATTTAACCGATTGATACTGAATGGTGTTAAATGCCTGTAAACAGCTATATATACAGTGGGGAAAAAAAGTATTTAGTCAGCCACCAATTGTGCAAGTTCTCCCACTTAAAAAGATGAGAGAGGCCTGTAATTTTCATCATAGGTACACGTCAACTATGACAGACAAAATGAGGAAAACAAATCCAGAAAATCACATTGTAGGATTTTTTATGAATTTCTTAGCAAATTATGGTGGAAAATAAGTATTTGGTCAATAACTAAAGTTTCTCAATACTTTGTTATATACCCTTTGTTGACAATGACACAGGTCAAACGTTTTCTGTAAGTCTTCACAAGGTTTTCATACACTGTTGCTGGTATTTTGGCCCATTCCTCCATGCAGATCTCCTCTAGAGCAGTGATGTTTTGGGGCTGTCGCTGGGCAACACAGACTTTCAACTCCCTCCAAAGATTTTCTATGGGGTTGAGATCTGGAGACTGGCTAGGCCACTCCAGGACCTTGAAATGCTTCTTACGAAGCCACTCCTTCGTTGCCCGGGCGGTGTGTTTGGGATCATTGTCAAGCTGAAAGACCCAGCCACGTTTCATCTTCAATGCCCTTGCTGATGGAAGGAGGTTTTCACTCAAAATCTCACCATACATGGCCCCATTCATTCTTTCCTTTACACGGATCAGTCGTCCTGGTCCCTTTGCAGAAAAACAGCCCCAAAGCATGATGTTTCCACCCCCATGCTTCACAGTAGGTATGGTGTTCTTTGGATGCAACTCAGCATTCTTTGTCCTCCAAACACGACGAGTTGAGTTTTTACCAAAAAGTTATATTTTGGTTTCATCTGACCATATGACATTCTCCCAATCCTCTTCTGGATCATCCAAATGCACTCTAGCAAACTTCAGACGGGCCTGGACATGTACTGGCTTAAGCAGGGGGACACGTCTGGCACTGCAGGATTTGAGTCCCTGGCGGCGTAGTGTGTTACTGATGGTAGGCTTTGTTACTTTGGTCCCAGCTCTCTGCAGGTCATTCACTAGGTCCCCCCGTGTGGTTCTGGGATTTTTGCTCACCGTTCTTGTGATCATTTTGACCCCACGGGGTGAGATCTTGAGTGGAGCCCCAGATCGAGGGAGATTATCAGTGGTCTTGTATGTCTTCCATTTCCTAATAATTGTTCCCACAGTTGATTTCTTCAAACCAAGCTGCTTACCTATTGCAGATTCAGTCTTTCCAGCCTGGTGCAGGTCTACAATTTTGTTTCTGGTGTCCTTTGACAGCTATTTGGTCTTGGCCATAGTGGAGTTTGGAGTGTGACTGTTTGAGGTTGTGGACAGGTGACTTTTATACTGATAACAAGTTCAAACAGGTGCCATTAATATAGGTAACGAGTGGAGGACAGAGGAGCCTCTTAAATAAGAAGTTACAGGTCTGTGAGAGCCAGAAATCTTGCTTGTTTGTAGGTGACCAAATACTTATTTTCCACCATAATTTGCAAATAAATTCATTACAAATCCTACAATGTGATTTTCTGGATTTTCTTTTCTCAATTTGTCTGTCATAGTTGACCTGTACCTATGATGAAAATTACAGGCCTCTCTCATCTTTTTAAGTGGGAGAACTTGCACAATTGGTGGCTGACTAAATACTTTTTTTCCCCCACTGTATTTCACAGATTTAATCATACGCAGCTCAAATGATAGGTAACAACACCCTGAGTGCATTGGACAAATGTAACAGCACAACAAAATAGATAAACAATTGTATTTTGCAGGTGCCTTTTCATTTTAAACACCAGTGGTGTAACTAGTGCTTTCTAACTGCACTGAAACAAAAAGGTGGTGGGCGGGAGTGTAGCAAAAAATGTCCAGAGGGCAAAACCATTGATGCAATCTGTTAACTATTATATAATATATAAAGTGGACATATTTACTATTTAATACAAACTAGCTCAAAACATTACTAATCATTGAAAATGACAAATTACCCAATGGATCATGATACTTTTCTGGTAAAAAAGTGGGGGTGCAAAAACATACGTTAGCACCCTTATTTTGAAGGTGGGGATGCAGCTGCTCCGTTCGCGCCATTGCTCAGGCGCCTATGCACACACACATACACACACACAGTCTTGTACAACTAACCTTGTGGACACATACAATTCAATCCCATTCAAAATCCTATTTTCCCTAACCCCTAACCCGTACCCGTACCTAAACTTAACCCTAACCTTAACCTTAACCCGAAAACCCTAACCCTAACCCTAGCTCCTAAGCCTAACTCCTAACCCTAAACCCCCTAGAAATAGCATTTGACCTTGTGGGGACTAACAAAATGTCCCCAGTTGGTCAGATTTTTGTTTGTTTACTATTCTTGTGGGGGCTTTTGGTCCCCACAAGTATAGTTAAACAAGCACGCACACACACACACACACACACACACACACACACACACACACACACACACACACACACACACTTATAAATACATACATCTATAAATACACACAATTTATCACAGACACAGTGTTCCATATTGTTCTCAGAGAATATACCTTCATACCCTTCTCTCCATGCACTTTGATGCAAAGCAGATATTATGTTGGGTTTGGTAAGCAACCCTTGCTGCTATTTTTCCTGCACTCGTATGTGCTGCGTTATGAAAACTAGTTGTGTAATTTTGTGTCAGTGTTTCTCGATATGTGTACACACATCACAGGCACATGCATGTGCATAATTCCAACACGCTAGCCAATATCCATACACTATCTCCTATGTATTTTCAGGCACTGGCTTGGTTTATATTCTGTAGAAATGTTTACCATATTGGAATAGATGAATAAAAGTTTTAAATGATATTTGTATGTAGTGGATACACAGTATTTGAGAGTGAACAGCGTTTGGCCCACTGTATGTGTGCATCCCCATGCCACATGCACCAGGCTTCTCTCAGAGTTTTGGTTGTTTCTTTTTCCTCCATGTGTTGTATGTACCCAATAGTCTAGTAGTCTATCTATGGGTCCCATTCACAAACAAAAATGATTTGTTTAGTTGTGTCTTCATCTCGTATAGTTGCATATTCTT